CGCGTTATTTGTTTTCCGTGCCTTTCTGAATACAGACACCAACCCATCCCTGCACAGCCTGGAACATAACATTTATTTCCATGATCTGCCATTTTCGCTATTATCCTCGCTTGTTTCTTCACAACACCTGCAGAACTTCTGATGATTCGGCTGTGCAGGTTCGGCATAGAACATGGTATATGCAAATGTTGGGGGCGTAACTATTAGTGATCCCGACTGTAACGTCACAGTCGGTGTTCTGTTCTGATTCGCCTATTTTTCAGTGGTCTTTTGAATGCACAAGATTTACATAAGGAGGAGGAAACAATGGTGTTTGAGGCTCACTGTATGTCATTTCCATGAACAGAACTGTTATTATTCAACTATGCCAAGGTAAATACAGTTTTCCATTCTATGGCACCTTTCAACTTTTTAAAGTGCTAAAATTGCTAAAACTAAATTGCTATTGTTCTTAAAATAAAAAACAAACTTAATTGTATTTGGAAATTGAAATAAAGATTAAATAAAATATAAATATTAGATGAAAAGCTTAAGCTTAAAAGAAAAATAAATGTACAAAAAAAAAAAACTTGGCAACTAAATTAAATAAGTTTAAGTACTAAAATTGTTCGAACTAGTTGTTATTGTTTTTATTGTTAACTGAAAAACTATTAAAAATGTTTTTGGTAACTAATAAAAAACTGAAAAACATATATTTTAAAACCTAAAAATGTTGCCTTGGCAACTAAATGAATTAAGTTTAAATATGAAAATTACTGAACCTTAAATTGAAATAAAAATAAATCTAAATAGAAATATTTTAAGAGTTCAGATGCAAACGCCTCTAAGTGCCATTTGAAATTGTTTATGTTCAGTTATTTCACTTAAATGGCAACGGAAAGAACCTATTCATTGCCATTAAAGTGAAATTATTGAACCTACACAAAGAAGCCTGATTAAAAATTCTCATTTTAGAAGAAAATTTCAAATGCCACTTAGAGGCTTTTGCATCTGAACTCATCTCAAAACGACAAAAGCAATTAACAAAATTACTTAAACTTAAATTAAAATGAAAAATAAATAAATAAATAAAAGGCAATCCAAACATTAATAAATATGATCATAACACATAAATAATACTAAAGTAACACTGCTGGAGGGTTATGAACTTGACTGAGACCTTTGGGGTTCCACGAGCACATGATGATCCTCCGGTCTTCTGGGTTCGACGTGATGGTGTCAATCACTTTCTGTAACTGGTCAACACCTTGCCCAGAGTAATCTTCATGGAGAGAAGAAATCATAGATAAGCTTAGACCATACATACATTAAAAGAGAAGTGTTTTGAAACTTTACGAATATACCAAGTGGTCTTTCAGTTAACGAGATCTTGAAGATTGCATGTATAATATCATGTAAGTGTCGGTCCTACACCATATGCTCAGTTACCCATGTATCCTACAGTAAAGCACATCACTGCTATCATATGCCTGTATATAAAGAAGCGCAGTTACCAGTGTGCATGTCTTTGTATTCAGCTCCAAAGTGCCTACACTGAAAGCCATACACGGGACCCAGATCTCCTTCCTCTCGATCGCTGAAGCCGTTCTTATCCAGAAACTCCCTGGAGCCGTTAGCATCCCAGATTCTCACACCCTTCTCTGACAGCTCTTTGGCATCAGAAATCATTCTAATATGCTGATTTATTATTAGAATTATCAACGCTGGCAACAGTTGTGCTGACAAATATTTTTTTGCCGACTGCGATACTTTTTTCAGGATTCTTTGATGAATAAAAAGTTAAAAAGAACAGCATTTATTCAAAATATAAATCTTTTTTTGAATAAATGCTGTTCTTTTTAACTTTTTATTCATCAGAGAATCCTGAAAAAAAGTATCACGGGTTCCAAAAAAATATGAAGCAGCAACAGTTTCCAGCTCTGATAAATTAGAATGATTTCTGAAGATCATGTGACACTGAAGACTGGAGTTATATTAAAATGGAAAAACTTTATTTTACATCATAATATTATTTCACAATATTAAATTTTTTTCCTGTATTTTTGATCAAATAAATGCAGCATTGATGAGCTTAAGAAACTCCTGTAAAAAAAAACATTAAAAATCGTTCTGAATAACAAATGCAATTAATTCAATAAAAATGCAAAGTGAATAAAAACTTCTGGAACATCAATCAATCAATCAATCAATCAATCAATCAACACAGTTACACTCTGCAATGAAATTCTTACTCTGTGAATCTTGAAGTACAAAAACCACAAAGACTATTATAAAGTTACAAGTGCTAATGCATATACATAAATAAGTGTGAGTGCAACAAATCCTGCATGTATAGAGATATATATATATATATATATATATATATATATATATATACACTACTTAAATTTTTTTCCTGTATTTTTGATCAAATAAATGCAGCATTGATGAGCTTAAGAAACTCCTGTAAAAAAAAACATTAAAAATCGTTCTGATCCCAAACTTTTGACCGGTAGTGTATATGAAATGTATACATATAAATAACCAATAATAATAATAAGGTATTTAAAGAGCATATGTATACAACACTATAAACATGAAGTATATACATGCATGTAAAGTGTTATATTAGTGTATAAATTGAGCAGTGCAATGTAAACAGACAAATACGCATGTAATGAGGTAGGTTGGGGACAGACTAAACATAACATAACAATTACAAACATAAAGTAGCAGTAGTAGTATACTTTTATTTAATGCCATGTCAGCATCTTAAGCTATTTTTATGGCAAAAACAATAAAAAAATACAAGTATAACAAATACAATAAAAACCAGCAAACAAACAAACAAACATGTTATATTACACACTATTTTTTTACACAGGGTTCGTACAGAAACGGCAAAATGAAATTCCAGGACTTTTCAAGCACTACTTTTTTGGTTTTAAAGGACTAAAATCAGAGATCACAATATTATTAATGCCTGAAAATAGGCTAACTTCCGTCAACATAACCAACGTGACCACCTGCTTGCACAGGGACTGCTTTCAGGCGCTGCGTAATATCATTGCGCCTGCTGCACCCATAGTACGGCAGCAAAGTTCCTTGATTATTACGCCGGAATGAGAGTATAGTTCCTAGCCATATCGGCCTAGAAAATCGCAACTTTTCATTTTCCGTCGGTCTTAGTACACGATGTAACTACAGAAGAGTCAAGTTTTAAATAGGAAAAATATAGAAACTCTTTGGTCATTTTTGAGTGAGATGCTAACGGTCTAATCAGATTCAATGATCTATGCTAAGCTAAGCTAAAAGTGCTACCGCCAGACCCGGAGATCGGCTGAATGGATTCAAAAACGGTAAAACTCAACTGTTTAACTCTAGGGGAGTCGGAAAATGAGCCTATTTTCAAAAATAGTGGAGTGTTCCTTTAAGCAAAAATGCTTGAGTCAGTTTGCAATTTCCGGATGGATTTGAAGTAATTTATTATTTGTATCCCACTCTTCTCGCCACTTATTTAATATATAAAACCTTGATAATCGTTCTGATCTCCGAGGGAGGAATTTGACATTTGTTTACTTCCTGATTAATAGCCTCTTTGCAGCTGCATCAGCTCGCTCGTTTCCCGAAAGCCCTCTGGAACATAAAGAAAAAGCTATATACAGAAATATTACAAATAGTATGGGATATTTTCCTATCCTTGATAAACCACAGCAGCTCCTCCAATATGTCTTTCCAGAAAACCCTTTTGGTCGTCAGCAAAGGAAACTGATCTGTGAAAGCGATTGGTAATTATAGCTTAGTACCATTTCAACATTAGAGTTAGTTGATTTTTTAACTTCAAGTTGTTGCTTCCGGCTAAAATACGAGTCCTCTATCCATAATATTGAAAATCATCTGGTCTGAATCAGGAGAGAAATATGTTTTGACGTCATTGCGTAATCAAGACTCGAAATTGCCATTGCATCAAATCTCAGCAAAAAAAAATTCTAATTTAGATTTGTTCGAAAAAATAATATAAATACCTAATATAGTATTAAAATATAAACAATTGTATTTTGAAATACAACATTGAATTACAGAACACGTCCATTTTTTTAACCATTCAAGGGTTTTTTATTAGCTAGTAAACTAGTAAATGTACATTCTGTGCAATTATAGAGTTAAAATTAGTAGCTAGTGTGCCATACTCTAAGAAACATCTGCAAAAATAGGGCACAATCTACTATGTTAATGTTAAGGAATTTTCTGTATTTTTTTTTTTTTACAGGTGTTTTTACGCATTGTATTTTGTGTTTTCAAGCTACAGGGTTATAATGGACATTTTTCTATATTTTTCTAACACTGTACTATACTGATCAACAATCGCAGGTACAAGCTACTAACAGAGTGTATCATAAATAAACAATTACTCAGTTATTATTATTATTAAATTGAACAACTGCAAAAAGCAGCTAAATTCATTCATGTGATGTGAAGAGCTAGGCATGTCTGGTTTCCTCTTTTTGTGTAATTTAGGAGGAAAATATGCCTTTTATCGTTGCCATATAAATTTTAAAAAATGGCTAAATTTGTTGCTAGGTGCTGATGGAAGAGGAAGTTGCTAGGGTAGTCTGAATTTAGCAACAAAACGGCTAAATTGGCAACAGTTTTGTCGCACATTATCAGTTCCACTGCGGTGCTGGACATGTTCTTCTGCTAAAGATTGTATTCAAGTCTAAGCTCAAGTTAAAAACAGATGCACGTTTTATTTTTCCCGCGAAACTGTTTGTCTTTTTTTTTTTTTTTTTTTGGCGGGTTACAGAAAAGCTGCATACCGCCACCTACGATATTGGAGTGTGTAAAATAATCAATTTATATTTTCCCAATATGACCAAAATTAAGCTGAGTAGAAAGTAGAGCTTTAATTTCTCTTTTCCGTCCAGTTTTGAAAAATAAAAGTTATTTTCTCTAAATTTCCCACAATGCTTTACATTCTCTTATATCACATTTATCTGACCTGCTCATGAGAAATAACCATCTTGCACAAATTATTTCTTCTCTTGTTTCTACATTTTTTGTCTTTAATTAATTTTTGAATATTGTGATGTAATATTAATGTCTATTTTGTCATCATGTATTCAAAGATAAGTTTGCTCATTTGTCAGCTTATTGTTTATTTCACTCTCCTGTTCTCTGAGTCCATCTAATAATTTTATTTTATATTATTATTATATTATTATTATCTTGATACCCGGCAGTTGTAGCAAAATTGTCTCACCTGGCAGTCATAACCAATACACAAATGCTATTTAGTTAAAGTAAATCTATTGGTATTTCATACCAATAGTGCATTAATTGGAGTAGTTGTCATTGCCCCCACACTATGTGTTAAAACTCTATGCTGCATGCATTTGATCTAATTTCTCTCAATTTGATCTGGTTGCAGCTCCATATATCATATATCCACAATCTATCATAGATCCTCCCTTTCCGCTCCCCATTCAAAACCATCAGATTTAGCATTTTTACACTTTGTTTCCATATGTTCTATAAGCTTTCTCCACGTACATATTTTTATCCAACCATAGTTCTAAATATTTAATTTTTTTTTAATTTCTTTCTATATTTTCATTATATATAATTGAACCCCAGTCTAATTTCATAATTGGTAATCCCCCTTCATAAGACCAATTTCCAACATTTTTTATTGCTTCTTGATTTTTTTTTTTTAAATATTAAACATTAACATGCTTAATATTTTTTACCTCATTTCCAGATAACTCTATCATCAGCTGATCGAATTCATCTAGATCATCTAAAACATCATTAATAATACTGAAAACTGAGCACACTTATTTGTGTAATTCCATTACTGATGGTAAAAAATATCAGAACTTTACTATTTTTGTCCTATTTGTTAGAAATGTCATTAGACAGTTGTAAAGACTTCTATTTATCAGTTTGTTCTGTAATTGTCTGGATTTGCAGGATCAAATTTTGTAGCTCTAGTATCATTTTCAGTGCCTCTGATCTTGTTCTTGGGCTAAATTCCCATTATGGCTCTTTTTAACTCCATCATATTAAATTCTAAATCCATTGAGGTATACTCTCATTTTCTATTTACATAATTCTTGTGATACTCAGAGAGATGATGACTGCCACTATAATAGCAAAAGCTTTGCCTAATAAGGCAATTAATCAATGTCTTTTAAAGCACAATGATAGTTGTGTGTGTGTGTGAGAGAAAAATACTAATATAGTCAACTTTTTAAATGGTGCTCTAGTCCATTTTAAACTATATTTTGTTTATTGATAACTTTTTATATATATATATATATATATATATATAATGCATATAGCTCCAGACTTTGAACATGACTGCAAACCGGTATCATCTTGACATGTTTGTTTTTTATTTTTATTAATATGTTTTTTCACAGAAAAGATTGTGTTCATCAACCCAGAAAATCTGACATTTTGTTTATTAACCAGGGGCCTGTGGACCCCTAGTGGTCCTTGACGTAAAATAACAGCATATTTCATATAAATCTTTGTATTTCTAAAATATCAATGTTTTGACACAAGAGATTTTCCCATCAAATAAAAGGCAAATATATTCGAGCATATAGCTAAATATTGGACAAACTAACTTACAGTGAATTATGCAATTAGTCGCCACAAACACATCTACCATTGAGCCAAATGTTGGTCCAGTAGCGTTTAAATCTACACCATAAGAGGAATAAAAGGCTTATTAAAAAAAAAAAAAAAAATGTAAAAAATTAAAAGTTTAGGCTTTTAACCCGTTTAATC